TTTCCCTCCCACGAGCGGCGGCTGTACGTGTTCGCCTGCCGCAGGGCGACGTGCCGAAGAAAGGCTGGAAGCGTTCGCGCGCTGCGAGGTGTGAGGGCGTGGAAAGACGGCGCTGCCGAGACAACGGCCGAGACCGAGAAGAAGAAGAAGACGCCTGAGATGAAGAGCGAGCCAGAGGAGGAGAAGAAGAAGGAGGAGGATGGGCCCGGGCTCGGCGAGTCTCTGTTTGGAGCGAAGCCTTTGGGGCAGGCAGGCGGGAATCCGTTTTCGAGCGGCGCGAATCCCTTCAGCTCGGGGTCGAGCAATCCTTTCAGCACCTCTTCGTCCAACCCGTTTTCGAGCCAGCCGGCCAAGCCTGCTGCTGCTGCTGCTGCTGCCCCAGCCGAAAAGCCTGTCGCTGCCTCTGCCTCAGCAGCTGCAACGAACCTTTCCAAGACGTTTGCCGAGACGCTTGCCCTTAACACCACGCCCGCGGGCCCTCCCCCTCCCCCCGAGCCATGGCCGGAAACATCGGCGCAGCCAACCCCTTACCCGACACTGTACCTCGCCGACGCCGACTACGAGACGCTGGATCCCGCGTCGACGACCAAGCTGCCGGCCAACGTGACCATTGCCGACTCCGACGCCCCGGAGCCCTCGGCGCTCGACCGCGAAGCCTTTGAGTCCGCCATGGACGCCACCTTCCAGAAGTTCGCCGACCGGATGGCCCAGAACCCGGAGCAGTGCATCCGCTACGAGTTTGGCGGCACTCCCTTGCTGTACTCCAAGTCGGACGCGGTGGGCGAGCTGCTGACGAAGCGGACGATGCCCGGGTGCGCCAACTGCGGCGGCCGGCGGACGTTTGAGGTGCAGCTGACGCCGAACGCGATCACGGAGCTGGAGGAGGGGGATCTGAGCTTGGACGGGATGGAGTGGGGGACGATTATCGTGGGGGTGTGCGAGAGGGATTGTTTGCCGAGGGGGGTGGGCGTTGAGGAGGCGGGTTATTTGGAGGAGTGGGCGGGTGTGCAGTGGGAGGAGCTGTCTAAGGGCAAATAATGGGATTTGGTGAGGGTGAGGGGGCTCAAGAGGATGAGGTTGTCTCGACGAGATTTATGATATCAAAAGCCTGAAT